ATTGAGATTCAGCAATCTTACACACGTTACAAGAAAACTATTGTTAATAGTTTTTCTAGTTATCATTAAATATTTATTAAGGATTTTTAGTGAACGTTCACTAAAATTTTATTATTTAGTAAATGAATATGCTGCTGTGTTTTTTATTATGTAAATTTATATTCTTGTACATTATTTAATATTCATTATTGCTTATTAAAAAAATCATATGTAATATTTCAATGATATTACTTAAGAATATTGAGTATAAATGGAATATTATATATATAATGATGACTCATGACTTGTAGTGTTGATTTCACAGAAAGCAAATTTTCTTTATAGTAGTAATGATATGTATTTTTCTATTTCTTAAAAAAAAAAAAAAAAGTATTTTAATAAACGGAACAAACAAATATATGAGTTTGGTTGCTATTTAGTTTGTTTTATGAAAAAATAAAGGTAGGCCACTAACATTTACTGTAAGAATCTTGATTATTTTTATAAAGTTGTGTAAACAAATATGTTTATACGATGCTATAACATTAAAATATAAAGGTGAAGTCTATTAAAGAATGTTTCATTTTGAAATCTATTTCAGATAAATTATTTTTTAAATTATTATTAATACTTTAATAAATTCTAAGTCAAAATTATTGGCTGAAAATATTTACAGAAATTTTGATTTAAGGTTAGAACTAGCTTTGCCCTACTAATCAGAGTTTCCGAGAATTTTATTTCTGATAAACTTGTTAATCAGACCATGTATGATTTCATTTACATAGAACTTTGATGTATAATTAGATTAATCTTGATATTATTATTATATATTATTGTAAGAGTAATCCATTAAGTTATTCATTTTTGTAAGATTTAAAATATTTCCTGTATATAAAAATAGTTATTTTTTTCAGTTACAAGAATGTAATAATAATAATCCTTTAAATATTCCTAATAAATAAGAAAAATTCATTAACTGTAATTTTATTAAGAGAAATGTTACAGTGAAGTTTTATATAGGTTAAAATAAATTAATTTTCCTTATATAGCCACACAAAAAAGTTATGGAAAAACTTATATAGTCTTATTTAACATTTGCTATTGAAATTAATCAATCTCCATAACAGGTTTTTGTAGCATAATTTTTTTTATGAGTTTCTTACTGGTTATGAACATAAAAAGGTTTTTTTTTATTATAGAAAACTTGTCTTGAAGGAAGCTTTGATCCGTATAAACGCAACGAGGAAAATATATTTTGGTTTAAAATAATAAGAGAAGTCAATTTCCCACATGATTTCTATATTAAATATGAAACTTTGAATGACAGAGTGAAATGTGTTTTGTTTAGTGATTTATAAAGGAGAAGAAACTGTCTTAAGAAGCAAGGATACAGCTTTCCATATAACTTATTTATTCATCGTTTAGAAACTAAATATAAATATTTTAGAATAGTTAGATTCTATTTTGTTAAGGAAATGTTTTAGAATGACTGAAGATTGTTTGCTTAGTTTTAAATTTACGCACTTTGGAATACAGTAGTTTAAGGCAGTTCTTTCGAAATACTTATTCAAATATGTATATATATATAAAACAGCTTTTAAAATCGATCAGAAGTTAACGGATGTTTATTCTTTATCGTTTTTCAACACCTGTCATAGAAACTCATTCCGTATTTTAATTCTCCGCCTGCTGTAGTTTTTTCACAGAATAATAAATCGAACGAAACCATAAAATACGTTTATTAAAATTGTTTTCTCATCTTTTTCGGTTCTTCCTGTAAGATTCGTGCCCGCCCTTTAACTAAGCTTGTCGTTATTCACCGAACACCATTTAGATTCCACGTAAGTGGTCGATGAGTTAGCAACTCTTTACTTGAAGCATATATATATATATATTTTTTTTTTTAAAGTTAGAATCGTATCATTTGTATTTTCTATCATATTTCCTACACTTACAGAAACAGTAGCGTGAATAAGTCAAGGTCGAATCGGTGACATTTCACCTCTACTTCGATATTTTTCTACTTCAAAAAATTGCATCCTATGTGCCTACATTTAATGATTACTTATGTATATGTAAAGGTCATTTTATTCAATATACAGAGCTTATTGTTCGCTTGAAGGATCTTTATTGATTAAGCTAAATTTATTTCTTCATAAGTAACCCCGTTATTTAACACTCGATATTTGTATTTCTAGTGTTTCTGCCAGTTTTATCTTCCTGTTAACCAGACAATATGGAATATACAATCGTCCTCGTTTATGAATATTCACAACCGGTTTAACAGTTGTTAAAATCAGTCGATTTTAATTCACAGAAAAGAATTACAGTAGTGGGAGGATATTTGAATTTTTTTTATTTCCAATTTTTTTTTTCTCTCTCTTTCTTTCTTTCTATCAGTTTTGTAAGAATGCCAAGCGTTTAAATACCTCATATACCGTGTCTACATTTATATATAACTTATATATTTATGTTCTATGCAAAAAATGAATTGCATACTGTATTTACTCAATGGATATTACAGGAAAGTTTATAAAGTGACGATTCTTTCTTTTGTAAATAATCAAATAAAACAGGAATTTAATTGATAACAGCAGCAGTTTTTTTAAATTAATAAATTTCGAATAAAAATTGATCATTGCAGTTGTTGAAGTTAATAATATTAAATAAATAATATAAAAATTGCGGAAACTTTTGTAATATAACACAATAAATTTTAAATATCTTTACTAATTGACTTGAACGTGTAAAAAAAGTAAACAAATGGAAAAGTAGCTGTAAGATTAGTAGAAAAAAAAGATAAGGAGTTATTTTATGGTTGGTAGAGTAAGAAAACGAATTGTAAGATTAGTTAAACTAATAAAAAATAAAAGCGGTTGTAACATTAGCACAACAAGGAAGACGGTAGAAAATAACAGGGAAGTAATTTCTCGATTAGTTAGAAAAAGGTGGGAAAGTCGAAAGATAAGTGAAATAATTTAAAATAAAAAATTGTAAACTGGCGAAAATTTTAATTTACTATAATTTGTAATCAATTCAGAAAATATAAATTAGGTCAGATTTAATAATTATTTATTTATTTATTACGGATATTGGTTATCTCAAATGTAATATGAAGCAATGTTAAAATATAAATATAAAAAGATTCAAAACACTTATAACAATAATATGAAAGATATAATAGCAGTTGTAAGGTTTTAAAGTGGGGAAAATTACTGTAACGGTTGTAAGGTTTAAAAAAAAAGTTGCTAAAGCATTTGTAAGATGTTGCAAAGATTCGTTGTAATGATACTTACATATGTCTTTATTCATATAATGGTAATTTATCTGTAAAATTTCGCTATTGTTATATTTAAAATTATTAAAATGGTTTGTAGATTTGCTGTAGAAATTACAGTAGCAGTTGTAAAATTACAATAAAGATTACGAAAGAGGTTATAAAGTTTACTATAAAAGTGATTGTGAATTTGCAACAAAAATTATGCAGGTAGCCATAAAGGTAACCTAGTTACAGTTTAAAAATTTATTGTTAAGATAGGAATAATTGTATTTTAAAATTTTTGCTGTTTCATAATTGTTATGCTTAAAGTATTTTACAATAAATGAATTGATTTCATCACCTGTGTTATCTCGTCATTCATAGGAAACTGATTGATAAAATAATTACACCCTCTCGTATGTCAAATTATTCTTTTTTATGTTAGAAAAATTTGAAATTTAGACTGAATATTCTCGAAAAATATTAATTCTACTGCAAAATGAGCAGGTGGAGTTTTCTTAAAATGAAAATGTCGTTTGTAGATGGATAATTTTGCCATGTTAATCACACGTGGAAGCTCAAAAAACAAACTCGAAAGGTTGACTGTTGGAAAACTGTCAAGTTACAGGTTTATATAAATACAAAATGAGATACTATCCTGTTGCATATTTTGTTATTTACTAAAATCTATTTGAAATGTCTATTTAGAAATATTTTTAACTTTAATTATAAGTAATTATAATTTAACTTACTTATAATTACTTATAAGTTATAAGTAATTATAAGTAAGTTAGCAGGTTTAGTATTCTTCGTCGAGGAATTTAAAATGCACTATAGTTATATACACGTAAAATGAATAAAATCACGAACTGTATTTAAATAATTTTATATTTTTTTAAAATTTATTTACGGTAAATGCAGTTTTCTTTATCGTATTATCGCGATTGCCATTAATTACAACGTAAAAAATTACACTTGATTCTCTGACATTCCCTACTGTAGCAGTTTAAAAAGCAATTTTAATTTAATACACAGACACAGATGGTTTGGCCGTTATTAAGTCTTATTTGGTTTGTAATCTTCAATTCTGACCTAAATTTGCGGCCTTGTGGATTCATTTTTTCCAGCTTTTGCTACGGAATTAATTTCTCTTGGCATTTAACTTGGTTATTGTCCAAAAAAACTAATCGTCTTAGTTTCTAGGGTAAACAAACTTATGCCGCTTATAACTTTCTATAGAAAAATAATATATATATTGGTTATCTGCGATAAAAACTAGATTAAAAGGCATTATAAAGTCTCGGAATCCAATATAGTTGCACAACGCATCCAACTCTCGATTCAGAGAATTAATCAGATTAAACGTTTTGCAATTCATTGCGACCGCTCGGTGAACTGTCAAGGTCGATCCAATTTTCTGTTTTAAGTTTTATCTAAACTAAGTATTTTACAAATTTGATGTAGTAAAATAATGTTAAGATGCTGCATATAATTTTCAATTAACAAAATGAATGTCAGAAGCGTCACGAATCGAGCAAAATTCGTTGAAAACATCGCGGAATTTTCGCTTTAATTCTCATTTAATGATTGAAAAAATTGATTATCTGTGATGAGTTTTATTGTTTTAGTGAGAATAATATCTTAACGATTAATTTCTCGCTTCTTGGTGTGAAAATTGACTGTAAAATCTTTTAATTTTGTGTAGTTTCTAAGAGTTCTAGATAAATTTTTAACACTTAAATTTATTCTTATATTGCTTTAGAGTGGGATTGCGAAGCCATAAATGCCTGTTCTGATAAAATGGGTTATAATGCCATTGTCACGCTTCATCAACAATTGGATGATGATGCTAATGGAAATATAGACATTGCCGAAAGTGACGAAGTGAGTAATTTTTAAATTGTATGTACTGTACACGCTTCTAATGCAATTAAATCTGATTTTATAATTAATTTTTCTTCCTGTGAATTATGTATAAGATGATTTTAAATAATGTAAACTATTAAGATTTTAATCAAACGATATTAGTTAACAAGATAAGCAGTTAATTTATTTATACTTTACACCTATTTTAATATATTATCATCAGATTTAAGATCTTGGCCATTGATGCTATCATTCTGTTGTTTCTTAAAATATCTCTTATACAAATATTATTATTTTATTGTAAAATTTAGTGAGATAATTATTACATAATACTTTTAAAAAATCGTTTCTCGAGTAGTAATTCCTGTGCCAAAACTTTCAGTGTCAATGCTTACTTAATGAAAAAACTTAGTGTAACTAAGCTAATTTATTAAACAACAAAATTAGAAATGTTAAACTGAAAAGTAATTTTTGTTGTTTTTGTGTTATATTAGTATGCAAATTTATTATTAAATAAAGGTTGTGATATTAGTATTAATAAGTCGGTAGTGGATTAAATTTCTCCAAGGATGGCACATATTTCAGTGCCCTTAGATCTCGATATATATGTCATTCCTGTATAAATTTATCACTAATTAAGAATTAGTATGAATTATGAATTAAGTCATTAAAATTTTATAATAATTTTATTATAAATATGCATATACAATAGCAAAATTATTGGAATGTTTTATATGTTTAGAAAACATTTTATATTTAAAGAACTGTGTTAAAAATATTATATATACAAGTAATATTTTTAATATTCCGTATAGACACAAGCATGCATACATACCAAAAAAAAATTGTTTTGAATAAACCTGTACAGGATATAAAAAATTATGTAGAACAGTTATTTGAATTTTTATATATATAAAATTTGATGTAGAAGACATTTTTGTGGAAAGCATTACACATCTCTTGGGATTACACAATGCAGATATGTAAATATAATATTACTTCAGGATATCCTTTATTGATGCTTCATTCAAATTAATATGTAAATTATTCTTTATTCATATGAATTTATTAAATTATATTTAAACTATTAGACTTTAAGATCTAATAAAGAAGAATATAATCAATATTACTATAGTAACTTAATTAGCGTAATCCCTGTTAGAGACTTTATTAGCTTAAAACAGTCTTATATGCCATCGTTCAGTAATAATTTAGAGCATAATTACCAGTCAAATGATGCATCATATTTTTCAGCATGAATAATCATTTTAAAAATATAAAATAATTAGAAAATTAGTTTTTCACCAAAGAATATTGATGTACATACATTTGAGATTTAATTTTTTATTATTTTTTATAGTTTGTAATAAGTAAATATTGCTGCTATAAATTCAGAAAACTGTTTTAATATTAAAGCATTTTTATTAAGTTTTAATTTAACAATAAAGAGCATAATTCCTATGTTTTATTAATTAAAATGTTTTATTATATAATAATAAAACATTTATTAATAAAACATAATTAATAAAACATTTATTAATTAATAATGTTTTATTATATATACATTAGTTAAACCTGATAACTATTGTGAGTTTCATTATAGAAAAGTTAGTTTTGTAGTATTAAATTCTTACTTAGTCATTGTAATGTAAGAATATAAGCAAGAATACTTTTTATATCTGATACTCTTATTGAAAATATTATTCAGTGATGCAAATTTGTATAATTAACATTTTTTGACATAATAATTATTGCAAAATTGTCTTGTATTAGTATTAATGTTTATATATGATATTACATGATCCAGAAAGTTTTCAGATATCAGACTATAATTTGATATTGATACATTCATTGGTTGTTAACCAATTGGGAGACCAAAACAAAGGTGGCAAGATACAATCAATGCATATCTAAAAGTCACTCACACTAATCCAAATGATGCCAAGGATCAAAACAAATGATGGTCAAAGATTCAAATGACAGATCCTGCCTGAATGGAAAAATGCTAGGATGAAGTGTATATATCAGACATGGGCAAATGTGGCTCTTTTTGAAATACAGGCTCTTGCTGAAAGTGTTAATTTCTGTTTCTTATTATTATTTTTACAATTTTATTTCCACAATTTTGTGAAAATATGCTTATTAAAAAAATTCAATATTTGTTTTATATTATATTTATATTATATAATAAAATCATGGTACAGAACTGTGGTACTGAATAAAAAAGTACAGAACTGTGGCTCTCGTGCATTTTGCAAAACCTACATTTCAGCTCCCACTGAACTCTTGCTTGCCCATCCCTGGTATATATTCACATATTATCCATAATTTAAAATACAATTAAAATAAATTTCCATGTTCTTAAAGAATCTTTTAATCTTGTATTTTTTTCTGTTTATTACAAAAATATATTATTGTGACTTTAGCAAATTCGGATGACACATTGTTTTTAGCATCATTTCAATTATAAAATTAACTTGATGATAAGCTGAGAATTATTTTAGATTATATAAAAGAATATCCATTAACTGGAAAAGCAGAAATATGCTATTTTATTTATTATACGCAGTAAAAAGAATAGAGATGAATAAAGAGAACTAAAAAAAAAACAATTATTAATGGCAACTGAATGTAATGATATTAGATTCCTTAATGAAATTTTACATCTCATTGACTTGTACTTTCTCTTGTTAATCTAAGAGTGAAAATGCTCAATTAATTATCTGACAGTTCATATCATCACTTCTAAAAATGAGAAATAATAATCAGAAAAGAAATAAAGAAATAATCATCATCAAACAATGATGGTGATTATTTCTTTAATAGCATATTATTTACAAGCTGTATCTCAGCTGTCAATATTTTATCAAGATATCATAATATGTATATACATATATATTTAGATTTAAAGATGTTAAAAATACATAAATTGATTTTATTTTTTTAATAATTAAACATTTGATCGCATATGTTAGCTTATTAATAATTAAGAATTTCTTTAAAATAAAACATTTTTATTTCATAAAGTTTATTTAATGACATTACTTGACATTACATTATATACAATATTTACAACTGTAATTTACTTAAGAGGTAGCATATTATGTAAGAATATTTCTAATTAAATCTGTAGCAATGGAAAAAAGATTGAACATGTTTAAGAAAATATAAATTTAGCATTTCACTTGTACTATGCTAGTAAGAATGCTAATGTTAGCAGTTTACAAATGTAAATTTAGATTCTAGTGCCAGAATATTAGTTTTGAATAGTACAATTATTTTATTGGCATACAAGCAATTATTTATGTAATTAAATACGTAGAGATAAAAAAATAGCTCCATGGTCTTTTATAGATTAAGGACTTTTTAATTAAAATTTTAATATACCGAGACTAATTTTTGAAACTTTTTCAATGCAGTTTTTAAGAGACGAACTTCAATATGAAAATGGATACGATAGACAAAAAGGCTTTCATCGTAATGATAAATATATTAGTGTTGATGAATTGTGGCAGTTTTGGATTACATCAGAAGGTAAAATTATAACTTTTTAATTGATTATTAATAATTACTTTTTTACTTTTTAACAATTGCTGCTTATAAATGCTCACAAATTATAAAAACATGCATATAAAATAATTAAAGTAATAAAGACAAATCTAGAATTTGATATATGTGATAGAAAAGTAAATTTTGCTGTAAAACAGTGGCGTAGCATGGGTGTCAGCCGCTCAAGGCGGAGGAAAATTTTAAAAAATTAGGTATCTCAATTTAAAAGACTAAAATTCAGTTTTGTCACAAAATAAGTAATGAAAAATTCCATGCTCATTTGAATCGGTCCAAATCGTAGGTGTGACAAAAATATGAAATGAAATGGTTCAAATTTTTACAAGATGATATTATCATTTATTGTGAAATTTTGCTGCCCTTTAAAAGTGCCGCCTGGGGCGGGCCGCCCCTGCTGCCCCCACTACGCTACACCACTGTTGTAAAATTGAGCAATCTAAATGTGATTGAAATTGTTGATTTTTAGGTTTCAATGACAAATGTCTCTAGTAACACTTTACTGTAAATGCTTCTTATAAATATATTCATTAATCTGTAGAATAACATGCATCCAAAAAATGAAACTTTGGATTTTCCAATTTAAAATTAAGGTTCCTTTTTTATAGGCTGCATCACATATTTTTCTTAACTTATAGGTGATTCAATTTCTATGGTTTATTTATAGAGTTAATATTGTAGTGGCCATAAAAATGTGATGACATGGAAATTGAATCATTTATGAGATATATTATAATGTATACCATGGATCTGCAAAGTAACATATTTAAGTTATAATCAGAATTGACAATGATAACACATACAGTACAGAAAAGAAACCAAAAAAATGTAATTTATTACATATAATGCCACACTGAACTTTTGTTATTTTATATCACATTCTCATCAGTACTGTTAATGAGCATTGTCATAAGAGCTTTCTATTTGCAGTTATGGGAAATAAAAAAGGTTTTCAGCATAAATAGGCCTGAAAGTTTTTCATAAGTTTTATAAGTAGTTCAGGCCTATTTATGCTGAAAACCTTAACATAAAGTTATTTTTCATTGAATGGTCTCCTAATATTCTGTAGAATTAACTTGAACATTAATAGTAGTTTTGCAACACTGACATAGAATGGATGATTTTTTCAAGTATTCTATACCAAGCTTCTAGTATTAATATCAAACATTTCTAATACACTCCTGCAGTTCATTTTCAGGCCTCTTTGCAATTTTTGTGCCCATAATATGCCAGCAGTTCTCAACAATGTTGAGATCAGGAATGTTGTCTGGCCAGCTTAAGCATCTGATTTGGATCTTTTGTAGAATTTTTTAAAAACCTAAATAATAGTTTGTGTCAATTTAAGTGACTATAGAGAAAGGACACATTATGCTTTACTTATCACCTTGGTTATCATGGTCTTACATTTGAATTTCTGTCGGATGAATAATTATTTTTTCACAAATTAAAGACAAAGTTGCTCTAAAAATATATTTCAGAAGATCACCATTTTTACTTAGTGTTCTAGAACAAATTATAGACAGCTGGACCTTCCTTTTTAGAGTAAACAACTGCCTACATTTAAAAAAGTTTCTTAAAAACACAAAAAACCAATAAAGATTTAAAAACTTCTTTAAAATTGGAATGGTAAATCTTATGATGTCTTGTTAGTTCATCCTTATCCATTCGGGTTTCTGGCTCCTTTTATCTACTGAGGATTAGCACTGACAAATGTACATTATGCCAAGATATCCCTCTGGTGACGAATTTTAACGATATATTTGAATTTTCCATTGACTTTGTCTTTAATTTGTGAAAAAATGGTGACATGACATAATTGTCCTAGAAGATACATATTATAAAATGCTCCTTGATTATTGAAATTAGTTTGGCAAATGAAACATTTTTTGTAGCACTCTGCATTCACAGATTGATTTATGAAGTGTTGTCTTTATTGGATATGCATTCCCACATCATTTGATTCACTGAAACTTTACTGTTTTCATCAAACAACTCAAGTTTAGATCTTACTTTTTCATTGCCTAACATAGTTTTATTCATTACATCTGTGCTAATTAAATTTGAATTAATTTGAAAACATAATAACTCCCATATGTCACTGTTTCAGTCTTCATTCTGTTTAGCCAGATATAATCCACTTTTTATACATTTTACTCGTTAGTAATGCCTTATTACATGGATGAAAAATGATGACATATTGTCAGAAGGTTAAAATTTCAAATGTCAAAAAGTGTGATACTGATGAGGCTTGTTGAATCAAAATGCATTTATCACAATAAAGACATTGAAGAGAAGTAAATTAATTTTTATTTCATTATTCTTTAATATCTATTTTTAAAATAGTTTTATCTTGGATGAACAGTCAGAAAAGAAGTTTGTATCTTAAATAACTGTCTTTTTTTAAATATTTAATTAAAATAGTATAATTTTGCTTTTTCTTGTCTTGAAATAAATTACAATTAAGAGAAGAATTTTATAAGATGACAATTTTTATAACTGCTGAAATGGATTTTAGAATTCATTGTTTCATAGGAAATTGTGCTATATTTCAGTTTAGCAAACTTTTAATCTTTGATTTATGATATATATTGGCCTATTTAATATTTAATGTATGAATTAATTAAGTAATTTAATAATTTATTTTACCAGTTTTGAAAACAATAGTTGAGTACATTGTAATAGTTTCAAATTTAAGATTGAATAATTTAAATCATAAATTTAAACATTATATTATACAGTAGAGCGTCGATTATCCGAGTCAATTGGGGACTGGGGTTGTTCGGAAGATTGATGTTTCGGATAACCGATTACGTACGAAAAAAATATAACCTATCCCGTGTTGAAATTTTTCTCCATTGCGTGTCGCTTCACGTTGAATTTTCGTCGTCGTTAAGCCTAACGAAGCTTTGTTAAACGTTGTTAAAAATTATTTTTTTATTTTGTATAAACAAAATAAATATATTGAAAAATATAAAAACAATTAAAAATTATACTTCAGAAGTTAATTTAGTATAAAAATGTAAAATATTTGAGTAGCCCAAGATATAGCCAAAGATTGCAGCGCCACAGCACCAGCGAAAATTTGAATTTGCCGACTGAAATTCTTTCGGATGATTGACTTTCGGATAATCGACGCTCTACTGTATTATATTTAACTTAAATTAACATTACATTTAATTTATAGCAAAGTAGTTATTTTGCTATAAATTAAATGGAACAGTTATTTTGGTTCAGTGCTATTGATGATATAGTAGATATCCTATCTAGATTCAGTTTCTTACATAACTTAAAGTACTATATACATTGTCTGTTTGGTAACTGCAATGATTATTTGAGTTTTGAGCTCAAAGAATTAATTCTAAGACTTCAATAAATTCTCAATGCAGATATTTATGATTTTCTCAATAAAGATATCCCAGACCAGTAGGCTGGTCAAGCAGGACTTGAGAGCATGACCACCTCATTTCTCAGATTTGACATCTGTTGATTTTTTTTAGGACTTAAAAATCTAGTATTTGTGTTACCCTTGCTTGTAAAATTTTACTGAGCTTAAAACTCAGTTTATCATGTGTAGTTATTGAAATGATAACTTTGAGTTTGGTAAGAAATTGAATTCAGATGGGATATCTGCCATATCACCAATGACAATTGTATTGAATTAAAATGATTGTTGAGGTAAAATTTTGTTTTGCTCTAAAGTAATGTCTTAACTCAGTTGTTCTCATCCAGGGGTACGAGCATAAATCGAAGGGATACATCTAACTTTCATTTTAAAATGGCATATGTTAATCAATTTGCTGTAGATTATTAACACAAGAAACAAGAAACGACAAAAACTTGCTTTAAAATATTCCAGTGTGAACACCGATTTCCCTTTTAACAGTCTAAACAACTTGTTTATCCACTTGATTTGTCTGTCTATTTGTGCCATTAGTGCCAAGTGAACCTATAATCTAGTAAAATTACTGTTTAATCGAGCATTAATTTTAGAATAGAAAAAAATTTTTTTTTCTATTCTATAATTATTGCTCAATAAGATTGGGGCTTTTCGTGTTTTTACTGGACTAATGAATTAGGAATAACGAGGCCTGATTGTACCCCACCATGCAATGCATGCCACTGCATGTGCGCATTACTTGATATTTAACAAATTTAGATGTTATGTTTGTTACAAAAATTGAAAGATTGATGTATTGTTCTGCACGTTATAAATTTGCAGCCATTACTTTCAAGATCAGTACACAATTATAATCTCTATTTAACAATGTGGGAACCAAATTTTGAAAAAATTGCTGAAGATTTATCGCAACAAATATCCCATTAAATTTTGTTAGAAATTATTGTAGAATAATTTAAATTTTCTTTATAGTTAATTATAATTATTTATTTTTAGGAAATGTAATTTATGCGTGTATTGAAATGACTTCTGTGATTTTATGTAATATACTTATCAAATAATAATAAAT